AAAATAAAAAATTTATATCTTTATGTTTGAAGCCTGAAATGTGGCAAAAGGTTGAAAAGTTCAAGGGGGCCGAATACTTTCGCAAGGCACTGTATACAGTGCAAATGAGTCAATAGAAGAGCAGTGTTTACAGCACATCACTGTAGTGCACAGTGTGCACGATGCTCTCTATAATGGCTTTTGAAGACTGCAAAAATGAAACTGTTGAGAATTTGTAATGTAGAACAAATAAATATCCATAGATTAAGTTATTTTGATGTCTAATTACAATGTCACAACTTCCATGTCAAATTAATTGTAGTTTAATTGCAGTACTGTATGTGTGATAGTCACGGTTCCGCACGGGGTCGTGCCCCCCGCCACCCATTCCGGCCCCCACACCTGGGGCGCGAACCCGGATCTCTGGCCTAACGCAACAGGGCTCCAACCGTGTGAGCTAAAGGAGACCTCCCCCAGCCCAGGCAGCTGAGGACCCTGATACGCGCAGTGAGGGCGCTGATATCACCACACTAGCTCCGCTACACCCTCCCCTGCTGAACTTCAGCTCGACGAAAGACACTCCAGACTCCCGCCCGAGTCACGGCACCAATGTGACAGTCACGGTTCCGCGTGGGGTCGTGCCCCCCCCACCCGTTCCGACCACCACACCTGGGGCACAAACCCAGGTCTCCAGCGTAACGCAACAGGGCTCCAACTGCGTGAGCTAAAGGAGACCTCCCTCAGCCCAGGCAGCTGAGGACCCTGATACGTGCAGTGAGGGCGCTGACGTCACCACACTAGCTCCGCTACATATGCACAAGAAAACCTTGACCTGAAACAAAAAAAACTTTTCTATTTCTTAACTAAAGGATTCATAAAAGCTTTAGTACATAACTAAAATGTGCTATGAAAGGGTGGGCAATCAATGGGTTACACTGAAAGTGTGCTGATGGCCCCTTTAGGTGACTAATCACAAGGTATCCAAACAAAAGTTATTCTCCTTGATAAACTTGAAGCACACAGGGGGAGAGGGAAAAATATCTACTGCTAATCTCCCTCTAAAATTTCTGATCAAACAGAATCTGGCTGGGTGATTTAAAAGGCATGGCATCGCTATGGGATATCAGACAGCCTCTTTCCTCTGGCCTGATAGCATGTTTTGGAATCCGACTAGGGTTTCACATGAAAAATGAAAGGACTGTCTGAGTTTACAGTGTAAAGGGTCACTGTTCTGGTCGGAGCCTGTTGTAGAAAAACTGAAGCTCTTCCTTATTCATCAGACTAATTTACTGACCTCAAAGAAGGATGCTGAGGTGGGGGAAAAACAAGTGGGTTTCATCTACAGTATCTTAAGAGTGGCTGAGATTTAGAAAAGCAAAGTTATTTAAGTAAGAAGGCAAAAACACATTTGGGAACCTCTAGCAAATATCCCCTAGTAATTTCCTGTTGTACTTTCTGTGAAGATTTATATTCAACATGCCAACCATGTATTCTGAAAGGACTCTAATCATACAAGGGGAAATTTATTTACAGTACAGTGTATTAGGCAACAGGGAAAAGTGTATAATATAATGAGAGCAGAATGAAGCAAAGGCTTTAAGTGTATGACACGCCTACTGTACAAAGAATACAGAAAAAAATACAATAACTGTAGTAAACTGCAACGGTTATGACTGCATAGCTCTATATTTGCAAAAATATTTTCTATCACTTTAAAGTTAAAAGTTTTCCAATAAACTTTTTTTAATGAAGACATTGGATGTTCAAAGAGGAATACAAATGCTGCTTGCTATATGACATATATGACATTGTTTTACTTTTGTCTTTCGTGAGAGTGGGTGGGATTGAAGCAAACCAAATGCTTTAATGTGCCTGCTACTGACCTTAGGCCCAGGAAATCCCTGTTGCCCTGGAGGACCTTCTTCACCATCTTCACCCTGGCAAAATAAATGCATTGACAGTACAGTAATTTAAATTAAAGAGCTAAATTTTAAATAGCAGACCCAACAAGACAATGAATTAAATTTTCTAAAACCTGTCTAACATTTTTTTCAAAGAGCAATAAAAACAGTATACATTTTTTCAAAAATTCAGGAATTTAAGACTAATAAGAGTAATAGGTTTGTACATACTGTATGAGTAAGTTATTTAAAACCCAAATTAGAAGATTAATGAGTTTAACATCATAGCAGAAAAAAAGGAACACAATGTGCTCCAAGCACAAAGTTTACTCTATCTGGGATGGTAATTATGTGACCAGAAAAGAGGAAGTGTCGATAATATGCTGTAAGTCTATAAAAGTCGGTGATTTTCAAAGTCTCATACACTTTGATCAAGAAGAAAAGTCCATCTTCACGATGGATAATTATTTGCAACCGCATCTATTCTTCAGGCTATATTTCAAAACCAGATTACACATTTAAATTTATGTTTCAAATGTACAGTATATTAACATTGGTTACTCTGTGCTACAGAAAAAAAAAACTCAGTAAAACTCAGCATTGAAATGTCACAAAATTAACATTTGCTGAAAGTAACTTATGTTGCTGTAGATTGAGAAGTGAAACTTGTAAATTGATGGATGAACTGCTGACAGATGGGGAAAAAATCAATTGTTTTTTTTTCTGAACTCAGATCCTTGATAACCAAACTCTTACCCTTATTCCTGGAGGCCCACGGGGTCCCTACAGATAAAAAGAGCATCAGAGCAAATTCATATTGTGTACTGTGTACTTGTGTACAATTTCAAAAGAGATGTAAGAACAGTAAGCCAGGAGAATGAATTATAACTGTTTTACTGTACATTTAAGGCAACAGATTGTAATTTGGAGCTCATTTGTGTTTCTCTTTCACCAAGTTCAGAGTTGTTAAAGTTTTAACATTAAACAAACCTGTCACCCATAGAAAAACATCAGATATATACATAATTCACATTACAGACATTTACTGTATACAAAAAGCCACAATGTCAAAACAATACACCAGTTAGTACATACCAGTTAGTCGTCGCAGATAGAAACTATGTCATCTTATCTTATGAAGTTTATTTTTTAAAAAAACACTGCACCATTTAATTTGCTATGTAAATACTTTAACCAAATAATAAATACTTTACCCAAGATGAAAAAATCTGTAACATATAAGGATGGTTCTCCAGTTATTAAAAGTCTGCCATAAAATTAGCACATACCTCAATCCCATCTGCACCACGAAGACCCTAAACAGACAAGAGAGATTTCCACTTACAACGTCTAAAGACTTGCAGGATTGTTCACAATAATAGCAATCATTGGTTACATCTGCATCCTGATATTGGAACTCTGTTGTCCTTTAGACAATGTGTGCTTGTGTGTCATAACATTGACTGGTTCCCCATACAGAAAATAGTCCTGCCTTTTGCATTATGCTTCCAGGGTAGGCTTTAGGGTGAAGTAAAACTTAACAGTTGTAGGATCTTTTCTGAGGATGGATTGATAATTAGTTGCTTTAAAACAAGTCATTATCCCTGTAGAATAAACCTACTGTAGGACCTTGAAACCTACGATATTTTAAATATCAAGATCCAAATACTCTTGATATTTAAAAGAGGCAGGAGCTACCTGCTTAAAGAGCAAAATTTAAGTTGAATGATTGTGTTATTAATATAATCAAAATAAAAAGACTAAACTTAAAAGTTGAACCTCACAACATTCTGAAATTCTGATCAGTTTCTAGTAAAGCTCTACTTTCATCTCAGGCAGGAATTCAAAGTTAACACTAGGTGCCAGTGTTCTCCAAATCAACACAAAGGAATGCAGCAGTATCTGGCACGCCATTAAGAACAAGTGCTTGACTAGTTGTGGCTCACACTGCTTTTGCGATTGACATACTTTTGGATCTCTCTTATATTTAAATAAAACCAGCAGAAGGTTCTTTTAGCACAGACTCTGGGCACTTACTATACCACACAGGTGACATTTTGGGGTTTGCTAAACACGTGTGACTGTACCTGTGATCGAAAGGGGAGGGACCCTAATATCAGGGTGTGATTGAACAATGCATCTTATACAACCATTTCCTGCACAAGTCTGGGGCAGTTAGCTCTGGCCCAACCCAAAACTTCACAGGGACACTGTCAAGAGTCAAGAGCCCTTGTTAAGAAAGTTTCAAAAAGCCCCTGCCGAGTGGAGTACTTGTGCTGCTCTGGAATGTGTCTTTTGGAGTTAGTTTTTATCTGATGTGCTCTGGGTGTGGGTAGACAGTTTTGAATGTTGTAATCACTAGGTATATAAAAAAAGGCACTTAAACAATACTAGTGTTGGTTGTTGTTCTGTACATACAGTGATTTTGAGAGATAAATAGAACCTATAGCTAGGGAAGAAGGGCCCTAATTGTTAGGTGGCATAACTGTCAGCAAAACAAAGGTATTTCTTGCATTTAGGGGTCACAATCTGTACCTTTACAATTCTAACTCAATATGACATGTATTATTAAATTAAAATTGATAATTCATTTTCACACCTTCACTGAATTTTGATAAAATCTAATAAAAGAAACACAAAATATAACCTATTTTTTTTAGTTAACCATTAGGACATTTTTATCACCTGTCAAAATAATCTATTGGCATTTTGTATTGCATGCACATATACCGTATAAAGAGTTTACTGGAAAAAGCTCATCTCATTTGATGTGATTCTCAGCTTAAAACCAGCTAGCCACATTGTTCAAGTCACTAGGAACAGACACTGATACTCTTGTAATTATTAAAACATCGAAATAAAGCCTTTTTCCCTTCCCCAATGCCAAAGTATTTTACCAACAATTTTCGTTCTAATTTTCTATGCTGTATAATGAACATTTGAAACTATGAGTTGCAGATATTGCAGTTTTTATCTTGATAATTTAACTCTAATGTACGGAAGCGCATTGCTGCCACTAAGTAAAAAAAACTGCCTCCTTATCTCGTAATAACGAATTATCTTGTAATTAGGTGATAGCAATGCTTACGTCGGTTTATGTTCAACCTGTTACGTTGTGCACTGAATCCATGTAGAAGCTGCAATGAAATTGGTATTTTCGGTTTAATGATTGTGTCCAGCCCTGCAGAAACTGTACAGATTTCGACTGGGATTTAGTCATAATGAAATCTTGCAATTTTAAGCAAATATGAACAGAATCATTACAAGCATGAGGACCAGTTTGGTGGGATTTAGAGATCAAAGCAATGATAGTTCTGTTATGAACAGTTACACATGCAATCACTTACACTGCTTAAAACTGTAAGTACGCATGTAACGATATACTGTAGGTATTGTAATGGACACGGCCGAAATTACAAGTTGTGCGAGCTGGTTGCCAGTGCAGTGATGTAACCACCTTTCCCTATGAATAGCAGTGGCCTCAGCCGCCGGGTTGAGGGGAGATCTCCCTTAAGCTCAGCTGGCTGGTTCCCTGTTGAGTGACACAGCGGTGGAGGGCCGACCAGAGGCGGGAGCCACGAGAGAGCAAACTCACGAGAACCCGAAACGTTATAGTATTAAAGGAATAAAAGGTTTATTACATGCTGAAAAGAGAAGAAAAGAAACACAACGTTTTGGCTGTGAGGGCTTCACAGCTGAAATATTTTGTTACTTTTTTTATCTTTTTAGAATGGAATAAACATTTGATAAATAAAGAGAAAAAAGCATGGAATAACTAAAGAGAAAAAAAGTAACAACATTTTGGCTGTGAATATATAAATTAATATTGTAATTAATTTCTTTAGATATGCGATTCCATATTATATTCCCTATTTGTAAGTCTAAGACTGTAAGTCTAAGGATGTTATGTCTCAGCGACTCCACCCCGCCCCCGGCAGATTTCTCCTCCCACTGTTCCACAAACACCAATCATAGGAAGTCAGGTCCACATACTGTATACTGAAACAGAAGCGCACACGGCAATGAACGTCAATGTGATATATCATATATAATATTTATAAATATATATAGTATTTGTGTAATATTTTTCTTAATCCAAATTTTAAGTTAAATTACTCGTTTCTGAAATTTGTACAAAATATAGATGTTCTTAATGTGGATGTAGACCAGTGAAAGAGGCACATTGTGTTCGCAACAAGCTATAATAACAAACTGTTTCTACACATCCGGTATATTGATAAGTTGTTCTCCAATTACTGACCATTGTAAAAATAACCCTTCTTCACTCCTTTGTTTAACTTAAAGAATTTCATGAAGAAATCCTTAATCATGAAACTATCATGTTAATCTAGATACATACACTCACGCTAGAGTACATTTTGCCAGAAACATCCTCCCAGAGTAAATCTTTGGACTGCGCAGTACTGTATTGTACGATATACTGTTTAAAGTTTAAAATTTAAAATTGAACGGTTGGCTGATTACTGGCTGCTGAAATTTGGATTAGAACAAAATATACATTTTCTCAATGCAGATGTAAACCTTGTAGCGGCAAGGCTTATTAATAATACAGGACTTAAGTTTGCTGCTCCCTTGCCAGTCTCTCTCTCCCTCATCTTAGTGATGCTGAACACAGGGAAGCCATTTCACTACCATTTAAGGTATTTTTCTATCTGATAGAGTTTCCTGATAAGGAACAAGTCCCAAGGCTGAGATTCTCCAGCCACCCCAATGAATGGTCATCTCTGGCACCTTACTGTCTGGGAGATTCCAAGGGAGAGTCTCATCCCAAGGTTTACAACCCTAAGGTCAGAGAGCATTGTTACTCATCCTCAACCTTGATCAGCCAGTCATCCTACCTGGTAGGGCAGGATAACCCCACGTCTCAAATGCCCGTGGAACTTTCAACCAATGAACAACCGTAGCTCCTCCAGATAAAAGAGGCAGCACAAAGCCCAGAAGGTCTCCCTCCAGGACATTCTCAGACTCATCTTGGACAATCATGACAGCCAGTGTGTCTGAGTACCAGGACATTACTTTGTTCTAAGAATCAAGACCAGAGGTTGCCTGCATGTAACCAAAGGATCCACCTGAGGTTAGCCCAGCAGCAAGCCACATGAATCGCCGGTAACCCACCATGAATGGTCACCTGATCAATGAGTGAACTACGGTCAGAACTGTTGACAGCTGAATCCAAGAGTTTAGGACTAGCGCTACATCGGGAACGAACCGGTCTAAAGAGTGTGACTTGCTTGGACCCTCAGTCACTTTTCATGCACAAACTCTGCTAGTTCAGCCAGGACTAACTAGCTGGTCTTTAGAGAGTCACTGCCAGTGCACCGCAGCAGGAATCTCTCCCTCCTTCTCCGACACCTCCAGCCGTACCAGGACTGCCTGGCACCGGGCCAGAGGAAACCGATTGGACACTGCAACAGCCTGTTGCTGTTCCTTTGTGTCCGCGGGAGATCTGAATCCACATAGATTGGATGAGTATTCAACATTCAGCATTACAGCATGGTACTTCAATTGTTACCTCAACCCCAGTTGATATAAATTCCTATGGGTGATGTACTTGCTTTTGAGTATCTAGTATAGAAGTTGTAATCAATGCTCATTAATGAAATGGTATAAATGAATGGTACAGTATACTGAATGTATGTGTCTCTTGGCATTTGTAACTCTTTGTTATTAAATATATACAGATGCAGCCATTCAAAATGCACGGTACAAACCCGCGGTACGGTAAACTACCCACAAGCCACCGCAGGGCACAGCGGTAAGTGATTGGCTGGCCAAAATGACAGACTGGGGCACTCGTGGTGCATTGGTTGGTAGTGAAAAGATTTAATCATTTAATCTCTGTACTGTGCACATTTTAATCTGCTTAGTTTTGAATATTTATATGGAATTTTACCACTAAAGGGAAATTTTAG